TTTCCCTGCAGGGTCCGGAGGATAAGCAAGCCCCAAGCCCGTGGAGGAGGACAGCAAAGCGCAGTGGAGAGTGAACGTGGCTGTTTCAGTACCTTGCATGCAGGGTCCGCACTAACAGAACGTCTGGGCTTTTCTTGTGGCAGCAGATCCTGGGCCCTGCACAGCAGAGAAGGTGCTCATGGACCAAGCACTGGGGCTCTGCTCCCCCCACACCTTTGGATGATGTGGTCAGATGACTGGGAGCTGCTCAGAGAAGCCTCAACAGCTCTCACAGCTCCCCGAGGCACCGCTGAGATGAGAAGGGAGCAGAAGAGCACTGTTTCCTAGCTGCTGTTCTGGACATCCAAACACCACAGTGTGTTTCTAACCCCTTCAGTGCTGTAGCCCACAGCGTCCCATCGGCCAAGGGACACTGTGCTCAGCCCTGCGTTTTCTGTGGCACTTCCCATGGGAGCACCACCAGGCAAGAGAGGCTCCAAGGCTTCAACCTTGAGGCCAGGGCCAGTAAAAGCCAAATCCTGCACTCACGAGTCCTCCCCAAGGAGATTGTCCCAGGTGGGTAATGGAGGGAGAGGCTGAGACCTGTCTGGGTGGGATGTCACCTGCTGTGGGGTCCAGGTCAGGGGCAGAGCACTGGGGAGTGGGTGCTGTGGTGCTGTGCTCGGGGACAGGCAGCCAACTTCTCCTAGCAACTGGAGCTTTTTCCATGTTGTTTTGTTCCCAGATATGTTAATTGCCCATAAAGGAGCGTGGGAGAGCATGAGTCGCTGGCCAGGATGATGCTATGTGATGGCCTCTTCCCACAGATGTGGAGTTTTCAGGCATAGGCATCTATTAGGATTTTAGGCATCTATTAGGAATGAAAAGTTCTGCTGCAGAGGCCAGTGTAATGCTCTTACTTAGCAGCAAGAGCTCTTACTAACACGAGCTTTTAATAAATGGCTGCAAATGAAACGGCTTGAGGGGAAGGGGCTTAGAGGGAAAAAGGAACTCAGCATCCCAGCCCGCTCCAGGGGTGTCACTGCTTAGCACAGCGCTTCTTATCCTATGTCTCCCCACCACGGAGTAAAAATACACTGGACACTGGCACAGTCTACCTCTCTTGGGGTTTTTCCCCCTCTCCTTTCTATGGAGGATCATGAAGGTTTC